GCGTCACATAAAAGAAAAACCATAGAATTATCATGGATAAAATATATAATTATATGTGGACTATTATAAAGAGTAACCAATGAAAGAATGGCCATTAAAATCTCGTTTTGGCAAAAAACCCTAATCCGTTAAAAAAACCCAAACTATTACAGCATAACTAACTATAATCCAAAATTATTACAACCTCATTAATTATAATATTATATACTTAAATTATAATTATTAATTTACATTTTATAATTATTTTATTAGACAAATAATAGCAAAATAAAAATATTTTATAATATTATCTAATTTAAAATGTATTATTGACAACTGTAAGAAAAACAGTACACTACATGATTTATAATATAAAAACTCATAAGTAAAATAAAAGATTTGGTTATCAATGTAAAAATTAATAAAATGCGTACAAAATTTTGGAAATAACTCTTCAATTTTTCAAAAAATTATTTTTTTAGGTTTCTATAATAAAGTTAGTAAAAGAGATTGTTAGTAGAAAGATGGAGATTTCAAATAGAATAAACTTTTTATTTTTATTTTTTTTATACCTTTCATATTATTTACAAAAATAATTATACCACTATATACAACAAAAATTAACTATTATAAAAATGAAATTTTTATTTTTTATTTTTTTATGCCTTTTATATTATTTACAAAAATATTTATATTTATACCAACCACTATATACACAACAAAAATATTTATATTTATATCAACCACTATATACACAACAAACATTCAACACATGCCCAAGGGGATTCGACCTTGGGACATCAAGTAAAAAACAAAAGCCATAACCACTAAGCCATCTAACTACATGTGATTATAAATTGTTGATTAATAGACTATATTTACATTTCGTTTTCATTTAATGATGTTTGGGAATTATCCCACATCGAAAGATGGGTATTCAACTTTGGTATATAAATACCCACGTAATACGAACTATAACATGTGTGCAAAAGTATTAGGGCAACCTCACACGTGCGCTTGGATACACGTGTGTACGCGTGAGTATGTGTAGGACACGCTTGGATACACGTGTGCACGCGTGAGTGTGCGTAGGGCATGTTCGCATGTGTGCAAGTGTGAGTGTGCATGGGGCACGCTCGCACGTGCGTTTGGACACACGTGTGCAAGTGTGAGTGTGCATGGGGGCACGCTCGCACGTGCGTTTGGACGTAGGGCACGCTTGCATGTGCGCTCGAACACACGTGTGCACGCATGAGTGTGCGTAGGGCATGTTCGCATGTGTGCAAGTGTGAGTGTGCATGGGGCACACTCACATGTGCGTTTGGACACACGTGTGCAAGTGTGAGTGTGCATGGGGCACTCTCGCACGTGTGTTTGGACACACGTGTGCAAGTGTGAGTGTGCATGGGGCACGCTCGCACGTGCGTTTGGACACACGTGTGCACGTGTGAGTGTGCATAGGGCACGCTCGCACGTGCGTGTCATGTGTTACGTGTATGAACCGGGCTGAACCGGATAGAACCGAATGGGAACCGGCGGTTTTTCTCTAGAACCCGGGCGGTTCCCGATTTTGTGCTGAAACCGGCACGGGCTGTACCGCTTCCCGAGTCGCCGTTTTTTAAAACACTGCTCCTAGCCAATGGTTTTTGTAGTACCAGATGAACACTATACTCCTACGAGGAGCATGCAATTTTTTAGCTTCTTTCATATCCTAATATATTTTTTAGTTTTTACCCAAGTAAGGAAAAATATTATATAAGGTTTCAACCTTAAAATGTAGAATTACATATGCACCTCAAAAATCTATAGGAAAATGTTGTTTTAATATTGAAAAACCCTCTAATTGAGTCCTATAAATAGTGCATATTGCAACATATTATCTAGACCATCCATTTTCATATATTTATAGATCTATTTGATTTTAACCATTTTTGGAGTTTGAAATTTTATAATTAAATATAGAAATAGATGTTCATATAATCCTAATAAATTTTCATACAAAAAATAAATGTTATGATAAATTTTGGAGGTATGCCTTAATTAGATTATTTAAGGTTGCAACATTATAAAAACCACACCCAGTAAGTAAATCTACATCATGCTCCCATGAGGAGCATATAAATTTTTTACTTGCTTTTACTATCATAATGTATATTTAGGGGCCGTTTGAATACCTAGAAATATATTGTCTGTAAAATATATTACCGGCATAATACATTATTGCATAATACATTACCTGCAAATGGATTGTTACTGTTTGGGTAGTATTTAGATGCAACCTGAGAAATACATAACTAATGCTTGCCTATATCTTGAATAAATATGGGAAATACATTACCAATATTTTACCATCACTTGCCTATAAAGTATCATTTATTTCTTTTTTGTCACAAAAATCCACTGAAATGAGGAATTAAAGTCATTGTCACATCATTCCAATAAGATTTTCTAATAATAACATCATCCCCATTCCACAACGATTTTATAATAATAACATCATCACCATTTCAAAAAGATTTTCTAATAATAACTTGTACCATTCTAAAGTTACCATCACACAATTTCTTGCT